GACGACACCCTGCTCTGCAGGAGGTGATTGACAGGCATGAATATGTAACGTGCTTCATGGTTGCGACGGTGACGGGTTTCAGTACGCCAGCCCTGCCTCAGAGCCGTTTGCAGCTGCAGCATTATCGGCACAATTAGACAGGGATGAGGCTCGGATTAATTGAAAGGGGCTGTCCGTTCAGGCCTTGCAGAGCAGGTCACCTGTCTGTTTGACGGTGCGCTCTCTTCTTTTGAGTGATTACAAACTGAAACACTTACGGCAGCCGTGCAAACATCACTATCAATACGTCTGCTTTGACAGGCCACATGCAGATTCAAAGGAACGATTTTAGCAGGGCCTGTTAGCGCGTAATCCTGACTACGTACAGTAAACTCTAATAACAGGGAGGTAGATAAGAGCACTTTGAATTTAAATCACTATAAAAATAATATAACCATGTTACCACATCCTCAAGCTGGGTAGAAACCCCACTGTGTCTCTGTGAAGTGCTAATGTGTCACATTAGGGCAAATTAAAAGCTGCATTAGCATATTCATGCAGGAAGTAATGTAACAAACCGGCCAAGTCTGCTGTGGTGACCATTTTAAAGAACTGCTTCATTTCTGATGCTTTTTAAAAAAACTGCTTTTATAAATCAGCAGCTGTTTGACACACGACACTGTCCAATAAAAGATAAAGCTAATAAATATTTTCTTTCCAACAGACTTCGGCTGTGATTATGGCACATCTGCCTTGGAATTATTTCAGTAAGCTTTTGCTGTGTCGCATTTCCAAACAGAGCTGCGCTCATTTCATGCCAGGACTTTGAAAGTGAAGATGGGATAATTGAGCTCAGTCGTTCCCAGATCTTCTCAGTGACATTGAGGCTGGACTCTGGAGGCCCATCCATGTGTAACAATGAAAAATGTGTCGATTAACAGATTCATGTGTGTGTGTTGTAAAGAGTTTGTTAGAGCAGACGTGATGCAGTTATGTCTGCAAGCAGGTTTGTTTCTACAGACAAGCGCTTAACCTGAAAAGATCTGTAAAGAATATGTCACCGCTTTTATTAAATAGTTTTTCTGGATGCACTTTCCATAAAAACAAAATAAAAAAATCTTCTTGTCCATCAGCTGCATTGTGTGTTTCATTAGCACCACCTACTGTTCAGAAGGAGAACTGCAGGAGCACAAGTATGAACAAAAAAAAAACTGCCAATAATGTCAAAATTACTTTTCTTTCTCTAAATAAAAATGTGAAATTGTGTTGTTTAATAATTTGTTATGTTTATTGTGTTTAATATGAATAAATATAAGTTCATGACATTTACAAATCTGCAGTCCACACTGCTCTCACCCACCTGGAGCAGAAGGACTCCTACGTCCGTATGCTCTTTGTGGACTTCACATCCGCCTTCAACACCATGATCCCCCAGACCCTGATGGACAAACTACTCACACTAGGACTAAGCCCCTCCTTATGCAACTTGGTCTTGGACTTCTTAACCAACAGAGTGCAGTCTGTGAGAATCCACAACTTCTATACAGCAGTGGTGGGATGAATCACAAACAAGCTGGTGCAGGAAGAATAACCTTCACATCAATGTGAAGAAGACGAAGGAGACAGTCGTGGATTTCAGATTAAGCAAACACACCTAACCCCCACCCCACCCCCGAACACAGCTGAGGCGGGCTGGTCTGGGAAGCTCAGTCCTCACCTCCTTCTACAGGTGTGCAGTGGAGAGCATCCTGTGCTCCAGCACCAACGTGTGGCATGGAGGCTGCACAGCTGCAGAAAGAAAAGCTTTGCAGAGAGTGGTGAAGGCTGCACAGAAGATGTTGGAGTCAGTCTCCCCACCATCACAGACATCTACACCTCCAGATGCAGGAAGAGGACCACCTGCATCATGAAGGACCTCACTCACCCAGCACACACACTTTTTATCCCGCTCCCCTCAGGAAGGAGGTTAAGGAGCATTAAGTGTAGAACCACTAGACTGAGGAACAGCTTCTACCCTGAGGCTGTTAGACTCATGAATCCCTGCAGGAAAATCACTGTAATGACACTTTAATAGATGATATGTTACTGTATATGTTATGATATGTTTGGGTGTCACTGGGACCTTGAGTACGCAAATTCGTTCCACCTCATGTATCACATGTGATGTGATAATAATAAACAACCTTGAACCTTGACATCATTGTGTTCTGTTCTTAGTTACATTTTACACAAACTCCTAGCCATTAATAGGAGTTGTAAACTTTGTGCTCTCATATTGTCGAGTTTATTGACTGTAAGTCGAGGTTTATTAAATTCATTAGTAGCACCACTTAACTGATTGTTTGCTTGATGCAAACAAATAAAATTGTGTCAGTGTTACATCGCGTGTTTCTAAAAAAACGGCACTATTTCCCTGATTGGAGTCTCATGCCTACTTGTTCTTAAATCATGGAAGCATGATGATTTTTTTCTATTGCCAGGCAGAGTATCGATGCAGTAAGAAAAGTTGAAGAACAGTACCCTCTCCTGGTCTGAACAGCAAGATGAGATTTTACTGACAGTAGCAATAAGCTTCTGAACTTATCATGTTACGGAGCAAAAACATCCTAATATGTCCACTTTAAATTGACAGAGGTGATACAGAGAGCAAATAGAACAATTTGCCTCCTTCTCAATAAATCCTGTTCTATTTTAACAGCAATTTCATAAGGAAGCTGCCAGGGGGTAAAATAAAACGTCACTTTTATGCTTAGATTATAAAACAAACATCAAACATCTGGCTTATACTAAAAAATATACAGTTTATGGGAAAAACAAAACCCTTCGCTGGCACTTTTTGGTTGCCATGTTTGCAGGTAACCAATGAAAATACATGAAACTTGCACTTGGTGACGATGCTGAAGATACAGGAAGAGTTGACAGATTTTTAAAGTTATAGCCGCGTGGAATGGCACCTTTGATTTACAAAGGAAGCTGTCGTCATTTCTGACAATAAATACATTTTAAAAAGTAGAACATCTTCCTGTTGAAAGGATTTTAACTGATCAACAATGTGTGAGTTCAAGTAAATTTTTGTGGTTGTTGTGAAAAAGAAAACCTGCAGACGTATGAAGACCATGAAGCACAAGAAATTTACCTGAATTTGCAAGAACATGTGTTTTTAAAAACAATATGAACAAGTCACAAACATTGAACAACTGGTATTAAAAATAAGTAAACAATGGGAACTGTGGGGCGGTATAGGTACGTTAGAGAGCTGCCAGGGAGGAAAACGTGAAGACCACAAAGAACGATCATGGTGGAGTGGGAACCTGCAGAGGGTTGGTGTGACTCAGGAGGATGCTGAGACACAGTGAGATGGAGACAGACGATCTGCTGTGGCAACCCGCAAAGAGAGCAGATGAAAAAGTAAAAAGTCTGCATGAAAGTGTTAAAATGTTTGAACAAAATAACCGTAGAGAGCTCTCAGCATATTTGTAAGTTAAAAATCAAATCCTGAGATCAGTTAATGCTAAATGATGAATTGTGCATAATTAAAGATGATTTTTCAGAGTTTGAATCCAGTTTCAGATTATCTTCCTAATCTTATGTTTGCTTTTAGTCGAAGAAGTCAAGTCTGATAAACCAAAGAATGGAAGTACAACGTTCATCTAAACTGCAGTACTCAACGGTTACAAATAAAAAAGTAGATGCAAACTGAAGCTTTTACTTCAGAAAGAACACACTTTTACCGTGCACCGACTGTGTATATATCCACTGACATGTGTATAAACATGTACTTTATAATATTATGGATTATGTCTGTATTAACTTTATGCATTTCAGCTAGATTAAAGTTGTCATTTCAGCATTTCCACTTATGTTTCCTCTGGCAAAGACAATGTATGGTAGATGCACTACATCAGGGTTGCCCAGACTTTTTCAGCTTGTGAGCTACTTTTAAAATGACCAAGTCAAAGTGATCTACGTACTATAAGGCCCCATTTACATGAGAACAATCTCTGGAAACATTGGTGTTTTTTCTATGATTTGGGGGTAAGAAACAAAAAATGAGTGGGTTTAAATGAAAACGCAGTAGTCTCTAGTCGGTGGGGTTGCCAGATAATAAATGAACTACAGTACTGTGGCTTTAAAATTATAGTATTTTGACCTAAACTGTTATATGTGCCGAGTTAAAATCAGGTCTCTCTTATAAATGAATCCCAGAGACTCAAAGTGATTAACCTGTATAAATAAAGGTTGAATGGAAAAAAGAAAAGGAAAAAAATGAGGTGTGTGTGTTGAACATGTGCACAGAAAAGGAGGGAGTGAATAAGACATTTTAAATTTATCTGGCAACCCTGATGCAGGGCTCAGCTGCATTGTGCATGCAGCGTCTGCATTAGTCCAAACTGGTGAACACACCAACGTCTCTTTGGAGACCGGATTTCATTAGTTTTGCTCATACATGCTAAAAAAAGGCTGAGCAACACAAAACACTCTGCTCTCTGCCATTTATTATAACTGTTGTTAGAGCAGAAAAACTTTGGTCTGCAGCCGCCTGTAGTGCACGTGCAACCACACATGCGGAGCATTTCATACCTACATGGGGGGATTCCCCCAAAAATCTCCACTCTGAGACCTGGATTCAGAAACCTTTGGTTTCAGAGAGAATGAGGCTGTTGTCTGTAAAAGAATGGCCGAACATTTCACGTCGTGCAACTGGGGTCTCAGACTGGCTGCCCTGTCTGTCAATCAAGAGACAAATTTCATAGATGGATGATAGGCTGATGTCTATTTTTTTTTAATGCCATGCAATCTACTGACCGGTAGATCACTATCGATACATGGGCACCCATGCAGTAGAGAGGGTATTCAATTATTGTTCAGCCTCACAAATAACCCTGACTGAATAAAAAGCTAAATTATTTATTTACCTAAATAAGCAACATGTTCCTTGTCTAAGCTCTTCATCAGTGCAAAAGATGAGGTTCTGTTTTTTAGATGAACTAAGTCATACTTTGCTGTGAGGAGCACTTTACCTCTTCCTGGTCCAACATGTTGAACGGATGTCCGGAGCTCACACGAAGATGGGCGTTCCAGTGGTCGTGGGATGGAGGTTTGGGCAAGGGTTGGTTGTAGATGGGGCGCTCCTGCAAGGGGCGGCTATAGGAAGGTCGGTCAATAGGACGGTCGAAAGAAGGGCGGTTAAAGGGAGGACGGTCGACAGAAGGACGGTTGATAGAAGGACGGTCGACTGAAGGTCTGTCGAAGGAAGGACGGTTGAGCAACGGTCGTTCAAAGGAGGGTTGCTCAAAGGAAGGACGGTTGTGAGAAGGTTGCTCAAAGGAAGGACGGTTGTGAGAAGGTTGCTCAAAGGAAGGACGGTTGTAGGAAGGTTGCTCAAAGGAAGGACGGTTGTAGGAAGGTTGCTCAAAGGAAGGACGGTTGCAGGAAGGTTGCTCAAAGGAAGGACGGTTGCAGGAAGGTTGCTCAAAGGAAGGAGGGTTGTAGGAGGGCCGGTCGTAGGAGAGACGTTCCTGTGAGGGACGGTGGTAGGAAGGAGCGTGGAAGGAGTGAATGTGGGAGCGATGATGGTGATGATGATAGGAGGGCGGGACGGCAAACCTTGCATCTGGAATGGAGAAAAGGAGGAGAGAGGGGTAGGTCGGGGGCAGTAGAGAGGAGAGAGGAGGGAAGACGAGGTTAGTTAGGATCTTAGGTAGGAGGGCTGTGACACTGGGACATGCTTCATCAGTGTCAGTGTGTTTGGAAAAGTAAGAGATACAGCATTTGATAAAAGTTAATTCAAGCAGGTCAATGAGGTCAGGATGGTGGGAGGTAAAGTTTTAACAATACAATTCTATTCAATTCAGTTTATTTATATAGCGCCTAATCACAAAAGAAGTCATCTCAGGGCACTGAACAGAAACATTCATATATAAAATAATAATTTAACATTATTTATCTGAGGAGCAGACGGCTTTGAATTTAACTCCATCACAGAACTCTCATCTTGAGCAAGCATGAAGTCGACAGTGGAAAGGAAAAACTCCCTTGTGAGGAAGAAACCTTTAGCAGAACCAGGCTCAGGACAAGCGTCCATCTGCTTTGACTGGCTGGGTTTGGTAAGAACAGATACACAATGGCAGGTCCAGAATGACATGTTAAGATAGAAATAGTATCAAATGAAAACTATTCAATTTTAACAATTAATTTAAGGAAATGAGGTCAATTTGTTCTCCAGTAGTCTAAGCTTAAGACAACATAACAAGCCAACTAAGTACAGGATTTATCAAAAAGGAAAGTCTTCAAACTGGACAATGTGTCCGCCTCATGGACAGAAACTGGAAGCTGGTTCCACAAGAGAGGAGCCTGATAACTGAAAGATCTTCCTCCCATTCTGCTTTTGGAAACTCTATGGACCATGAGATAGCCTGCAGTCTGAGAGTGAAGTGCTCTGTTGAGAAAATATGGAACAATGCGATATGAAATATAAGATGGAGCTAGGGTGTTGAGAGCTTTGTAGGTTAGAAGTAAGATTTTGAATTCAATTCTGGATTTGACAGGGAGCCAGTGGAGAGAAGCTAAAACTGGAGAGATATGATCTCTCCCAGTAACTCCAGTTAAGACTCTGGCAGCAGAATTTTGGATCAACTGAAGACGTTTTAAAGAAATATTTGGACACCCAGATAACAAACCATTACAATAGTCCAGTCTAGACGTGACAAATGCACGGACCAGTGTTTCTGCATCATCTTTAGATCAGATGTTTCTAATCTTAGTGATATTACGCAGGTGGAAGAAGGTGGTTCTAGTAAAGTTTTTAATGTGGGGGATAAAAGACATGTCCTGATCAAAAATAACACCAATATTTTTAACATTAGAGCTGGAGGACAGATTAATGCATCTAAGGAGGGAGAAAGACTGAAAAATGAATTCCTAAGATGTTCAGGTCCAAGAACTAAAACCTCAGTCTTTGTGTTCAAAAGGAGAAAATGTAGGGTCATCCAGGTGATTAAGTTTTTAAGACATGCTTGTAGTCTGGGTAGCTGATTGGATTCATTGGGTTTCATGGACAAATATAACTGTGTATCATCAGCATAACAATGAAAATTTATCCCATGCGGTTTAATAACCTAATGGAAGCATATACAAGGTAAAGAGTACTGGTCCAAGCACTGAACCTTGAGG